GTTTTCTGTAGGAAAGTGTGTGCACTCTAATGCAAAAGAAGTCAAGTTAATTGCTTATTGTGTTCAAAGGTGTGATTTGTGTTTTGAATATAGCAAATGTGAGGAGAGATTTTGTTCTCTGAGTGTCAGTTTCTGCAGTTGAGCTTTACATTAGATTTCAGTGTGTTAGCAATTGGAAAAAACTGTAACAACCCCAGCAGGTTCAATTATAATAAAATTTCATCAGTGAGTTGTAACTGAATTAGTTGGTTATTGTAATTCCTTTTGGATTAAGAAACAGTAATTTATAAAAGTCAAACTTTAAACTTTGACGTACCTTACATCTCCATGGCCAATCCGAATCACCATAATTATAGGTGATTTCCTCTCCTGGACTTATGCTCTTTAAAGCGAACAAGCACAGACAGGGTTTCCCATCCACCCTTAGGTTCTTCATTGTTGCATTAGGATCAATATGGTTATCATTTACCAGTCTTCCGAGAGACCCATCCTCCTTTGCTGCATCAATGCTACAAGCATATAATACTTTACTTTATGACGGAACAGTACACTATACCCTATTCTAAGTAAACAAGAGATAGATTTAGGTCACCACATTTAATAAAGCTTCTGAAAATATACAACACTAAAAGTAACATAGAATATAATTTTAAAATATGTTCATTACTTTGCTCTGATACGTACCACCATAGTTTTCCATTAAAACGGAACTCAAACATGAAGACCTTAAGACTGTCATGGTAAAGTCTTTGTCTGCTCTCGCATTCCCGCATGTTTATTAGTTCACCTCTATACTCCAATATAAATTCTCCTTTTTCAAATGATACAGTACTGAAGACGCCACGGCCTTAAAAACACAAAAAACACAAAAACAAAGTGAGTAAGTGTATTTAAAAACACAAAAAAACAAAATGGGTAAGGCACAGTAATAAGGCTTGTAATCATGATCAGCCACACAAAGGATTTCACTCACCTTTAATAGGATTGATGTATTTAACATCCAGTCCCAATTTATCTGTCCCTTTAGTGACATAAAATTTAGCTTCATCCTTAGGGTTCATGTGTCTTTTCCGGGACATTTCCTATTTTCTGATGCAGACCTGTCTGAATTACCAACAAAAAACAGGTTACCACTGTTATGATCCAATCAGGTCAGATAATGACTCTATGTTGGAATAAGATCCAACATCACAGTATAAACTCTAACTTGGCAAAGTTGGCATGGCAGTTAAAAGTGCTCACAACTGCAAAATATGTACATTTTGCTGTTTATATTTTGACATTGGTAAACTCTTTATCGCACAAAGAAAAGACAGTGTGGCAGACACTTATGAGTCAAACTTTAGTTAAGCACCTCTGACTATAAATGACAAACTGGTTGACATGCCTATAGCACGCTGACAGAAATACACCTATGTGTCTATGTAAATTACTATTTTTTTTTTTTGTAGAAGCTTATACCGAAAACGGGGCTATATAGAAAGATTATGTTTTCAGTAACTACTCACTCATCTAGTGATATCAAACATGGTTTGCCTATACCTTGACCAAATATGTTTGAAAAAGGTCACATACTGTAACCTACATAGAAATAAATATACATATACCAGATACTTAACTCACTAAAGTGCGCTACAGATTGAGCAAATATACCGATTACACATATTACTAAAATTTGTTATTAATATTATCAACAGCAAAAACCTGTAATAACTACACCTAAGCATGGTTTAATTACAATATTAAAGCCCAGCGGTACGCTGAGAAGCCAAGGCCGGAGTATGGCCTGCGGAGAGCGGCATGCACGCTCGCAAACTGCGTGTAGGCCAGTGGCTAAATTAAAGCCTACTGTATAAAAATAACTTAAGTAATGACTTGAATAAAAAATGACGATAGTTCCATGTTGTCACACCCGGCTCCGTCCGACCCTCATGTGTGCCACGCCCCCCTCATTACCTCGTGTTTTTCCTTGATGGATCTCACCTGTTGCTCGTTTTCCTTAGCTTGTGTAGCGTATTTAGTCCTTGTCAGTGTCAGTTTCCGAGGTTGGTCATTGAGTGTTGTTACGTGTCGTCCCTTCTCTTCTACCCTGCTCGTCATTAAAGTCTCGTTTAACCGAACCTCTGAGTCCGTGAGAATGTTTATCCGC